GCAAGATGCATATGTGCACCAAGTTTCAAGGCTTTACGCTTTGCCGTTAGAGAGAAATTCAAATCGAAATTTGACAAAACGTGAGTGCGTTACCTGCGGACAAGCCCATAACTAAATAGTAAAGAAAATATTCATATGTTGCGCGAATATTATAGAAAGAAAAGACGACTATTATGTTTCGACTAGAGAACAGAATATATGTAGGCTAGTAGAGAGATAGACCTCCTCCATCTAATAATGCATGCATTAGCAGATTCTACACTGCGTACCGTTAAAATGCCAATAGGCAGCGCAGTGACTACTTGTGGTGTAGTATCCAAGAAACAAATGATCAGTAGAGTAGCTAACGGCGAAACTAGAAGACTAGCTCCTCTTCTGTTTTGGGAGGGGTAGTGGAGAGTGTACCTATTTTATTCTCACTCTATATGCTCAATAACACGACACACTTAGCAAGGGCATCATTAACCACTACACAAGCAAAATAAGAGGAGCCCTACTGTTCTACATATATCCGACTCCGTAGTCAAAAATCATCGAATAAATTCTAGTCACCTTTTTCTATAAAAAAGCTACAAAGCTGTTGAATGAAAAAGAAGTCAAGAAAAATCCTTTATGAATTTGCCAAAATCAAAATAGGTTTTCTTGCATTTATTTCAGAAAGACATCAGTTGTGTATTCACCCATTGGCCGATTGCCTACGGCTTGAAAAATTATTGCCCAGAGTTTTTGTTTTTTTTTGGGAAATAATGACAATTGCCTATAGGTACCTAATTCTGAAACGAGTTTGACTGGTAAATTACTCACAAATAAAAAATTTCTGACTACGCCATTGAAAGACATCTAGGTTACATAAGTATCATTTATATCTACATTCTCGAATTTTGTTTTTTGTTAAGAGAAATGGTTTTGAGAGTAAAACATCAATAGGACATTAACCATCGAAACAAGGGCACAATAGTTACACCTTGATTAGTAACATCAGATCTTCTATGTATACCAATATCATCGCAAATTTCAAATATCTAAGAAAATGAAATAAATCTATAAGAGTACTCAATAGAATAATAACGACTGTGGCAGAAATAATTGTCGGCTGTTCTATTTGATTTTTTTTAATCATTTTAGTACGTTTTATTAAAAAACAAAATATACTAAAAGAAGCAGCGTGAAAAGCGCTACAATTTACATAAGATCACTTATTTTATAATTCCAATTTCTGTTTCCAAAATGGAGAAAGTTTTTAATGATTACATATCGGTGCTGCTCAAAGATCATTTTTTCCAGGATAACAAGAAATAATTTTATTCTTATTTCGTCTCTTTATCAACTAATATGTTTTCGTAAAAACAAAAAAAATATACCAAAAGATGCAGCGTGAAAAGCTCTACAAGCTACAAAATAAAACTTATTTTAATTATGTTGTTTTTATTCTCAAAAAAAACGCAAAATTCTCTGCAACCAATATTCGGCACTGCGAAAAAATCATTCTTTCGACATGAATGAGAAATTCTTTTTTCTTATTTAAATAAACTGGTCTTTGCAAATTGTAGAGCTTTTCACGCTGCATCTTTTGGTATATTTTGCTTTTTTTATTGAAGACATATTAGGTGAAAAAAAGATGAGATAAGAATAAATCATCTTTGAGCATCGTCGAGATTTTATCACTCGAAACTTTGTTCATTTTGAAACCAAAATTGGTAATCCTTAAATAATCGGTCTTATGTAAATTGTAGAGCTTTTTACGCTGTATCTTCTGCTTGGATATTTTCTTTTTTAATAAAACCTACTAGATGTTTTAAAAAAATAAAATACAAAAGCTGGAAATTATTTCTGCTGCCCTCATTAATTATATATGATTGTTTTCTACATAGGGAAATTTTTCTATGGACTTATGAATTTGTAATTGTTGATCTTCTTTTAGTGATTGTGTCCGTAATTGATGATTGACCGGACAATAGTAAACATCAAATTTTGACTTGAATAATTTGAATCTATGTACTAATTTCGATAGAATAATCGAATAGAACTTTGTAAGAGAACAGTCTTCGAAAATAAATTTTTTTTTTAACACGTTGGCTGTCCCTATGAAAAAAAATAGTGTTTGTTCTACGTCTACCTTTTATTTTTTTTTAATTATGTATTTTACGATTTTATTATGTCCAATGCATCCTATGTGATTCAACCGAGAACTAGAATACTTCTTTATATTGTACTGATGCATTTCAATAATTTAAATGTAGTCAGTTGCGTCTAGCAAATTCTAGCTTCAGATATCCTACGTTGCGCGTGCATCATATGTGATGCATGGGACGTCTCAGTCAAAAGTATCGTGCACCACATATGATGCACCAGACAGCCAACGTGTTAATATATAAAACTAACCTAGGATAATTACTCTATCATTTAAATATCTATTATTTGAGAATTGCTCAACCCATTTAATATTCTCATCGTAATTCACATGAAGATCTGAGATAGCATATATCTTTTCAGTGGACATTTCAATAAAAAAGAAAAAAAGAACAACAGATGACAAAATGTGACAATTTTATAATATAACGTGTTTGAATAAATAATAACAACATTTATGCACGTGCGTTTAAATAGGTAATTGTAAGCAAAGGACAGAATGAAAAAAAAAAAGGTATTCGGTCGACTATGATTACGTCGTCTCTTTTCTTTTATTATTTCCATTGTAGAATCCATAGCTTAGAGTCTATTCTATTAGCTATTTGCCAATTATAATCAATCGGTATTACTTATAATTGCTCATATTTAATCTCGAAAATTTAGGTAGAAAAGAATGATATTAGAAAAAAATCATGTAGTATGGTTACGACTAATTGACTATTTGTTTTTTTAATGCACCTTTTTGGTATAAAAAACGGTTTTGAGGGTTTTCGAGCACAGAGAACATGAATTCAATTCCGAGTAATTTAAAGAGGCGATAGCTAATTGAGATAATTGCGCATTTCTCTAGGTCTAACTTGATTTTGAGAAGGTACTGCATAATCGTTATACCCATACTGTTTTTCCGCTAACACTAAAACATGGAAATGAAATCTTCATAGAAGATTAGACATTTCAAGAGGGCAACATAGATCCTCATATTCACCACTTAAATCTATTGCATGAGCAAATTGGCTGAAATCATCAATTGGAATAAAGTTACATCGAAAGACATATTTATTGAAAAATTGAAACATTCAAACAGAAAATATTCGAGATGATGCTCTTTTACAAAGTTGTTCGTTTGAAACATGCATAAGAAATTGGTAGATGTTATCTATCGAACTAAAAACAAAATACCAATTTCTACCGAATTAATAGATCAATCTTTTGAAAAAATCTCCAAAGAGACATCATTAAAATGCAGATAGACGCCGTTCTTTCTTTAACTTGGGCTACTCTTTCTTATAGCTCATTGGATTTATCTGTGCATTTGTCGTTGGTCTCACTAGGCACGGATTCGAATAGACTAATCAGTAGAGCAGTTTCAATAAATGAACTATTTCATAAAATTGTCGAAAATTTAAATAAACTCGATATTATTATTTCGAAAGTTATCTTTGAGTATTAGAACGAACCCGACCAAAATAAATCAAGGCTAGTCACTTTTAACAGATATATTTTCAAGATCTCATCTCGAGATAGGTTTTTCTCTTCAAACAAGACATATTCGATTTCTATCAGAAGAATAGAAAATCATACTACTCGTTATCATATGAACTTGTTGAAAATTGAATATTGAATACGATGAAAGTCAGACGAACATTATCATTTTTTTTGCCCATAAGAAAATATAGGTTAATGTCGATGTTTTCGATAAAGTAAAAGAGGGATCTTTTTAGGTTGATAATCTTGAGTTAAGTCTATCATCTAGATTCAAAATGAATTTATCCAATATTGAATAAAATTCTTAACTAAACTAGATAATACATGAAAAATAAGCTGCTAGTGTCTAATTTTTCAAAACTGCTTTGACAATAGTCGATAAATCTATTAGAATGAATTGAGTTATATACGAAATTTAGTTGATTTAACACAGCTTCATATCAGAGATTCTCGAATTTTATAGACACAAATTGAACTTATTCTAATAATTCATTTCTTGATTGGCAACGCTATTCAAAATAAAGAAAACTAATATTCATTTAGTTCGAACATCAGATATTAGTCATTATTACAGACATTAATCAAACAGTCGTGTTTATAACCTATTTAATAAATAAATATTAGTTCAGAATTGATTAAATCATTCATTTAGATTTTTTTCATTCTTTGAACTTGTTTTGTGAGACACGATCTAAAACGAATATTGAACTATAGGGGTTACAAGTTTCCACTCAACTCCTTCTCTCCTACAGATTGTAATAAACATAACCATGGGAACCTAGTCTCACATCTAAAAAAAAACTCTTCAATACTTGTTTTTTTATTTTAGTTCCGATGTCGATACCTTTTTTTTCTTGTAGCCTCGGTACCGATCTTGGCCACTTTTTCTCTCCTATGATTCCACACATTTCTAATCGTGAGAGACGTTGTTGATATACGATCCAAGACCGTATAGGAATAACATGTTTAGATGAACTAGTTTTTTATTGGATTTCTGGAGAATTAAGTAAACGAATGATGAAAAAATGTGTGATACGCTAATAGTTTTATCTGTATTTAGTTGAAAAGAAAAAACGAAAGAATTAAAAATAATCAATATCATGTTTATTTTTGTTTATACGCTTATATGTTCTACATAAGAGAACAATGTAGAAAAGGAGTAATCGCTTGTTTGTTTGTTTTTTTTAATATTTTTTATTTTTAGCTTGAAAAAAACCCAAAGAAAAGAAGAGTAAACTTAAAATATCCAAGACGGAAAGAAACGTAAATATTAGGAAGCTCTAGGATGAATAAAGAGTGCACGTGAGAGTTTTATTTTTTCTTTCGTTTCTATGGTTATGTATTAATAGGATCTTGTATCCATTGTTCTTTGAATTGAGTTAAATCTAATGCATTAAATAATCCTTGAAATTTTCCAATGAAAAAAAATTTTATTATCATTTATTCTTTATTTTACCGAATTTAACATATGAACAATAAATGCATTGACAAGACCAAAAAAGAGAAGAGTTGTTTTATAAGTTGAAAATGGTTTTAATGCTTTTGAAGCAATTCTAAAAAAGACAAATAATTATATTTAACATTTTCTTTTCATTATAAAATTAATTTTTGGTTACTTTGTTCGATCATTTGATGTATTCACTGATCGAATATCTCTAGTAAGAAAAACTTTTTCAAGAAAAACACGATGATTTTTTTTCCCAATCATTTGGTTTGATTATAATTAAAATGTTGTTAGAAAAGAAACGGACTATCAACTTCAAATGCTTCATTTATTAATAAATGAGGACGACTAAGATTATTTTTCTTCATCTTCAATTTGTCGAATTCTACAAATGAAAATAAGAGAAGAAAAAAAATCAATCGAAAACAATCGAATGTTTTTATTGATACCTTCTAAGAACATAAACAATTCTATGGATTTCATATCGAGTCAAACGTATATTTGATTCTCGTCCATCACCACCTCTATCTTCACTAAATTATTCAACATCAGCAAAACCAAGTAATAAAATTTTTATATCATCAACTGATAATGTTGCTGATGTTTGACGAATACCTCTTCCTTATATTATATTCCTATCATATCGAAATCATCATAAGTTCTCATATAATCTTTGAATATAAATAGGTTTAGAATTCTAGTCTATGACTACAAGTAAAAACAAACATTTCTCATATTCATCTAGATAGAAGGACCTATTAGCAAACAATCGAATGACGAACTTTTTATCTTAAATTTTGCTTATATGTAGGCCCCATGACCCTTAGTAAGCGATAAAAGTTTCAACCAAAACGGATCTTACTGTATCGAGATAATCAATTGTAAATAAGTATCCACATTTCACAGAAAAAACAATTCATTTCTTATATATTGATTATCTCGAGAAAGAAAAATCCGTTTTCATTGAAACTTTTAGCACATACTAAGGATCATCAGATCGAAATATGGACAATATTTCGTTATGCCATTTTTTTCTAAATACCTTCCTGTGGGCCAAAAACCCAGTAAACCAGTCATAACTACGGAAGAAAGACCTACACGAACTTATCATTTTAGGCTTTTTCTATTTATCGACAAAATCCCACTTCAAAAGTTTTTAATCATTTGGTGGAGTTTCATCGTTAAAACATGTCTTTATTCTACGTCTGAATCTATTCCATATAGAGATGTGTGGGAGCAAAAAAAAATATTGGTCCCGTACATCCATCATTAGCCGCGATCCATACTTATCTCTATGCATACTGTTAAGCTTATTCTTATGTTCGGCCATAAATCTAGACGGATCAGAGGAGTTTGAACATTTTTTAAAGACTCCCAACCAATACGATAAATCGGATAGACTCGTAAAAATCTTCTATTTATTTACTGAAAGATTAGTAGAGCCAAACTATATTTGAGAATTTTTCTAGACTAATTAAGATCTATTTTGTTTTGGTTTATGTTGAAGATGTTCCCTCGTTAGTAAACAATTTTAATCACATACGAAAAAACAAAAATCAATTCTCAAAATCAAACCTTGAAAGTGCTCTTGTAAATTGTGCTTCAGCAACATCAGGTCTCCATAATGGTAATAAACCATTAAAACGTGTATTTAATCGTGCTTGTTTAATAGGTGATCCATGACAGTCAATATCTATTATATTAAAATGTGTTACAGTTTCATAACCAGATGTTATTCGTCTTTTAGCTTCATGTGGTTGAATATGAACGTTTTTTTCTAAATCTATAAATAACTAAAACTTTATTTGGAAAATGTTTCTAACCTTCACGACAAATCCAACAAATCTGACCAGTTTCATCGGTTAAATCACTATGTGATATAGATGTTTTTGATTGATGCTCTTGCTGATAATTCTGATGCACTTTTATTTCGTCTTATTTTTCTTAAATTTAATTCAAGCATTTTTCTATCAGGTGCTTCTTGTACTAAACGTTTTTTTTTGCACGTGTTTGATTTCTAACATGATCAATTTTTTTTAGCAACTGGTTCATTTTCTGTTAATCAATGTAAAAGATCTTCAGCTAAAAGAGCAACGTCTACCAGGTGTTGTTAATTATTCAATTTAATGTGAAATTGGAATTAAACGTTTGTCCAATGTTTCATTTGAATTTGTTAATGTCGATATGATAAACCAGTCAATAAACGTAACTAAATATGTTTTAACTTGTGGTCAATTTTATTAAATATAATTTATAGATTGATCAATAATACCATTTAATTCATTAACAAGATCACCAAATTCTTTACCATAAAGAGATTTTTTTAATCTAAATGTTAACATATTTCAGAGAAAGAATCTAAATGTAATTGACTATGATGATCATTTGATGTTATTGTTGATGATGATGATGTTTGTTAAAGATCAAATTGATAAAATTGAAAATATGATTTAAAATAATAAAGTAATGTTCACATTTTTTCTTTATTTCCAAATGATAAATATGGTAATTAATGAATAGGAGTTTCCATTAAACTTGGATAAGTTTTAACAAATGGTTATTTTATATAATTAACTAATCAACGTAATTGTTCAATATCAGATAATAAGAAAAAAAATAAAAATGAAATTTACAATTGTGAAAGAATTTCTATATTTGCAATGATGACTATTCTTTCGTTTATCTTTAATTCTGATTATATAAATAATTTATCATAAATATAGAAACAAAAACGAGTATTATTTTAATTATAAACAAATATTTATCTTATTTTTTTTATCCTCCCTTCAAAAGAGTTAGTCCGAGCAATGACCATTTTCGATTTATTTCATTATTTTAAAAACCTAATATTCAATATTTCAAATCATCCTTGAAAACTTGTTTTGTTTGCTGACTGATATCAATTCGATAATTGAGAAGTGTAACTAGGAAACGATCGAAACCAATAGTCATACCGAATTTATACTGGAGACATTTATTTATTCTTTCGATCTTTTCCGTTAATTCTCCATTCCCACCAGAGATGTTCACGCCAGAATTTCAAGATTGGATGCAATTCGAATAACTCGATAAGGGCAACAACTATCGACTTGCGTCAGATCTATCTTTATTTAATACAATATAAAGGAAACTTATTTTAAAATCCATCATCTTCGCAAAACATCCATGAAAATAGTGTTTCATTGCAATGTTATTTTTGATTTTGACATATGCTTAAGATCTATAGTTCAAGGAACGACTCAGATAATTATCTTCTCAACTCTCAAAATATCCTCAGAAAGAAATTCTGAATATATATTCGAAAAAAGCGAAAAACTTTGATTTTTAACCAACAGTAATTAAGTAGCCGAAAAATGAGTCAATAACTTTCGCACTGCAGGTTACTTCTTATTTGGTAGTACATAAACTGTTAGATCTTTTCTAACATTATTACAAAAACATAAAAAATTTTTTCAATAGAAATTTATGTTCAAAAAATATATTGATAAGACTAATAAATAATAACTAACCTTGACATGATAGGAAAAATTGATTATATTTATCTTGTGGTAATCTTCTACTTACTTCATGATATAATTTATCGATAATAAAAAGAAATTTTTCTCTTAATAATAAAAGTCGTTGATCACGTCTTTGTTCTTCAGTTTCACTTTTTAATAATAAATTAAGTTTATTTCAGATAGATTATATTCGACATTTATTTCGATCAATTAAACATTGTCGATTAACTTTAACTTTAATAGGATATTAAAATAATTTTAATAAAATTTATAATAATGATTTTCCTTATTACATATCATCAATTCAATCTAAAACGTTTAATCATAGTTTATAAAGGTGAATCTTTACTAAGAACATTAGCTAACACGATATATATATATATTCCGGATCATCTTCACCATTTTCATTTCTATTTTTCTTTCTATCAAATTTTTCAATTATATATTTTCTTGCATCACCTGATAAACCACGTATACGATAAACAATATGCATAGGTTCATCTTCATTTTATGATCGATTAACAACTGGTTGAACACTTCCTGTTGAATCATCATTTGATGGTGTTCTTTTATGAGAATTTCTATATGGTAACCAAACATTTTTTATAAACATGACGAAGAGCTAAACCTAAATAAATTATTTTATTTGCCAGAAGTAATTCCATTCTATTATCATCTTCAACTAATGGAATTAATTAACAATCAGTAGAAATTTTATTTTTAATATCATGCATTAATCGACCCATAGCTGGATCTGCTCAACTATATGTATTACCCATCATTCGTACTGAAAAGAAGTAAAAAAAATAAAATAAAAATAATTTTCATAATATGATGTTAATTGTTGATCGATTTCAAGTTAAACACAAAAGAGAAAAAAAAACGATTTATATAAAACAAAAAAAGTTGAGATTATAATATAATTCTTTTTTATTTTTGTGTCAATGAATACTTCGAACTATTAGGCTAGATATTCCTCTTAACATTTCTATAAGAATTCATTTCGATATAACTGACTATCGTTATTTCAATCAGTTCGCTAATATAGTTCAACATTTCTGACTCAAACTAACTTTCAAACTTGTTAGCACAACTCGTTTAAGATTAAAATGTCAAATATGAAATAACTATTAATACTAATAGAAAAATATTTTTAATAGACCGGTTCAACGAGTCAACATCTTCACCTGGAAGGACGTCAATAGAGCTCATAGGTTATCTCTATGTAGAACTTGGTGAAACCAGTCGACGTCTAAAACAATTTCTGCTCATACCTTATCCTTCAAAGATTAAGAGGATTTTAGTAAATTTTCAATATTAGATATGGGTATAGGTGCGTGTGTCATCATATCGTATATTTCATATTCTTAGGAAATTCAAACGAAATGACTATGAGAAAAATTTAATGGAAAATTAATTAAATGCGTTGAGAAATGAGCAGATCTTTTTGCCGTTAACTATTCGAAAATGCTTCGATCAGTAAGTTGAATTTCTCTTCGATTTCTAAAATATACTTTTAAATAAAAGGTTATCTCACAATAATGCAAATAAAATAAACAAGATAAAGTTAAGATAAAGGTTTTGTTGAAGGTCCTAGTGTAAATTCGGCTTTTATCTTCACTGAGAGATCTTTTCTAATCCCAGCAACTAGGAAAGATATATAAAAATGAATTTCCTAATCCAATCTAAGGTTAGACTGGAAGTTGTCTCCCTTCAATTGTCAATGTATAAAAATGAATTCGAGCTAATGCATCATAGAGATTTTAATTCGAACTCTTCGAACAGTATTCTTTAGCTTGTATAATCTGTTGAATAGTAATATAGAAAAATTTGAATTTCGCATACCTTTGCGTGAGTGTGCATCTATGAGTGAGGGTGTGTTAGGAAAGAAAAATTCCTATACCCGTCAGAGATGTTTATGGGAGCGGTACCGTCACCAGTACAAGATCAGCATAAACTTTTTCTAGAGTTGACCAGGTTGTGGTAGCCTTGGCTCTTTTAGGAGCGTGTCGCGACAGCGGCAGACTTCAGTTGCGCTGAACATCTCTGATCTGTAAATCGCAGAAAAAATTCTCTTTTTTCATATGATCGAATAAAATTTTTCTTATCGTTAATAATATTTAAAAAAATATCATTTTTGACATTTATCCGTTTTGCGATGTTTTCAATTTATTTATTTTTGATAAAATCCTAATCAATCTTTTAGTGAGTCCTGCATTGTTGACTGACTGTCAGTATTTCCATGAATAGTGCGTATCGATAGTAGAATATTTCCAAAGTGAATAGATATAAATGAACACTAAGAAGTTATTTTCATTATTAAAAACAAACCTTGGAAGAAATCTTCTTCATTTCAATATTTTTCTACGAGATTTTCTTTGATAGTTTCGTTCTGGATAAATAAAATAAGATAAACGTTGAAATATAAATAATGATAAATTGTTTTATTTGTTATTGATAACCTCCTGTCATTTGTTCAAATAATTGAAATATTTTATTTAGTGGTTAATAAATAAATATAGTAGGTTGTAGAATTAATTTTTAGAATGTTAAATAATCATTGTAATAGAATAGGAATAAATATTGATTTCTATATTTGTTTTAATTGATCTTGTTCTAAAAATAAATAAAATAATTCCGTTAAAGATTTAATTGAATAATCAAATATTAAATTTATTTTATCTTATTTATTAATAATTAATATTTGAAAGTGTTGATCATTACATAATATTAATTTTAATTGATTATTATTTATTAATAAATGTTAAATTAATTGTAGATATTCATATGAATATTTGAAAATATATTCATAATATATATTATCGAAATAATTTATTAAGATTTCTATAATAAATAATTTAAATAAAGTGTTTGAATTAATTTCTATGTTAAATAATGTATTCTTGCTGATTGTGGAGAAAATAAAAATAATTCTAACCATGAATCATTATTAGATATTAAAGAAAACAAATTATTATTTCAATCGTTTATATCTTATTTGTTTTCATAGAAATTTTTTAATATCAATTCAAATAAATATTTTTTGTTAGTTTTTGTAATTTAGATAAATTTAATAAAATTTAAAAACAAGCTTATATTATTAATTGAAGTATTTCTGCTATTGAAATGTTAAAATGAATAAATAAATAATTTAAATATAGAATGGTCATTTGTTTTTCCAAGATAAATCTTAATCATCTTCATTTTAACGTTGTATAACTGAAAAAAACTACTAATATATCATAATTAGTTAATGATGATAAAATAAATTTTTGTTAAAAAATTATTTGAATTTTATTTAATATATTTGTTGTTATATAATAAGTTAATTCTATATAATCAGATGTTAAAATAAAAAACTAATAAAGGTAGATGATGACATATTTCTTCATTTCTATAACGTGAATTATTTAATAATAATTCATCAATTAATCATTTTTTATTTATTATAGATTATTTTAAACGATTTCATCATCTAAAAAATGCACGTCAAACTAATATAGAATCTTATTTTGTTTATAATCAATTTCAATGATGTTTATCATATCTATAAAGTTCTGTTAGGTGGACATTTTATTTTTTCTATATATTTAACAAGTTGATTATATGTTTGACGAGATTGAATATAATATATTGGTGGGATTTGTTCTACAATAAGATTAAAACCATTTCGATTATTTGTTCATCTTTAACTTATTGTTGGTGTTGATAGACTAGGAGCTTGTTGTTATTCTTGCTAATCAACGTATTAAACTTGAACTTTGATCATAAGAATTTAATTTAGTTAAGAAATATTCAAGAATAGATTTTTTATTAAGTTATTCAGTTATATTAACAATTGT